TGAATAATTGTCCTCTTGAAATATCACACGTTGGAGTGCAGGAGGTTGCAGAAATTAATGTCTTAATGCTAAGTATGCTGACTACAAGACAGCAAAATACAGCAGCAGCTGTCGCGTCTTCATTAGAAAGTGGACAGGACTGGGAAATAGGGTCCACCTATGTTTGAAATTCTGTGTACTAGAGAGTCACAGAAAAGCTAGACGTGGACTCCTCTGCGTTTAAAAGTGTAGAGACCTCCACTTAGACGAGGCCACATCTAGTTAGTAACACAATCAAATAAGGTTGGTTAAGAGGGGGTGGTAAGATTACTGTTGCCGCCATTTAAATAGGTCCCCGAAGGGATTGTGAGCGATCTAGCAAAGAGCGCCTACGCCTTTGTTGTTCCTCCCCCGGAATTAGAGACCACTCCGACCGACCGTCGGACAACCCAGGACAGGGCGGCACGAAGCCGCCACGAAACCTGTCACAACCCACCAAGCTAGGCTAGAACACTAGGCGATGAGGGCTTATTGAACGCAAGAGCGATACTCTTTAATTAATGCTCAAGAATATAAGAAAATCTCACTTGAAGACTGTGACAAGCGTCATCGCTCGATAACGCTACGGTAGAATGGGTTTAGTTTCTCGAGTGTAGTGCGATTAAAAAATTACAAAATATTTCTAAGAAATTTTGTAGTCCAAAATATTGCAAAAGACCAGGTTAATAGATTTCCGTTTCGATCTAAAAAAAAATTTCCTGTACAGAAATGGTACTGCAGTTCTTCAATATATTATCTGTCAAGAGCAATGATTTATTACCGCCCTTCACTCATGGGATTAGTACCTGCCTGGAAAAACGTGCCAGGAATAGACAATTGAACATCCGAGCCCTAACTGTGCCGAAGTTTCTACCGCGTTGCAATGACTTAACCAAAGGACATTCAGGTGGGATCAAGACGAATGATGCGGTAGACGGTCGCACCTCAATTCCCCGGGTGGTCTGAATGCGGTGCAACAGACTCCTGCCGTAAAAAGGATCGCCTAGTCGCTGTTTCTGCATTTGCGATCCACATTCTACAGTTTGGTCTTTTCTAATTCAAGACAATATGAAACAGGCTTGGCAGTTGATCTCGATAAACCCCTTATGATGTTTTTTTGGAATGCCTATGCAATTGGTTTTCAGAAATGACGCTTGTGTAACGGCACCTTTCAACAAATTGTCGTGTTGTATAGCATAAAGCAAACTGCATGGCTTCCCACAATGTGCCGCTACCTTCCACATGGAGGTGTTTGGCATTCATTACCACCTTGGAAAATCAGAAATCGTCGATAACTGGTAAAGGTATTCTTAAGCGCCGTACATTAATTACGATGCACTTCTGGTGGGATACGGTGAAACAGACCATTAGTGGTCTTAAAATATTTCGAGTTAGGAATGAGGTGAATCTTAAAAGGAGCTTGAATCGAACAAGGTAGAAGATTAATGGCAATATCCGTGTACATCTTGGTCAATAATAAAAGCAATAGATAAACTGGATACTTTTGACTGTGAGAGCTAAATTTTACTCATGAATATGGCCTAATATGACAAAATGGCAAGAATTCAGGTGGTGTCAAAAGTGGAATTCATTTCATCGTCACTAGTGGAGGGCAGGTATCGAAGTGCTGTGGACCCATTAGCTCCCAATTCCTAGATTTTGACAAATTCAATAACTGTCAACTATCTTTGTACGAAGCGTGCCTTAGTATATGCGATCTGATTAAGTGGCTGTTAACTCACGAGATAACTTCTTGCTTTACACAAAATGTGGCCAGAAACGGCGCGGGTTATTTGTCTTGGGCACGTCGAAAAAAGTGCGAGATAGTTTTGATTGCCAACTTAACCCGAAGTGGGTTGGCCGTCTCATCTAAAATGCGCATGCTTAATTTGCGAGGACGCAAAAAGCACACAGACAAGCTGCCATGACATTTACTGAAGTGGGTACCATTATGGGCGCTTGTTGGCGCGGCTGTTTGGAATGAGAAATCGGCTGGTCCTCGATCAGTCGGGCCGCTTATTACCACACAAAAATCGATGGCAGGAAAGTTACTTTGGGCTGGGATAATATCCGTCGACAGTGTGGGATTACTTTGCACACTTAGCCTACTTTCCAAGCCGATTTGAACAAAATATTGCTGATGCACTGGGATGGGAAAAATGGGTGAAACGCATTACCGAAGTCACGTAATTCAGTCCATTCGATAAAATCGTATTCGCATGTAAAAAAGTACTTATCCTGAGTGTTGGTCATGATTATTGAAGTGAGAGGAATTTAACTATTTGAGTAGTTCAACAGAGGAGAATATTAGCAGAAGTCTGTACAAACTACCTTACCTTGATTGCTTAATTGGAATTAATAAATCATACGGTTAATAGAGCTACTAAATTACCGAATTAAGCCTTTCATAACAAGTGGGGTTTCAGTTTACGACCACAATCAATACAGGCATTCCTTCAGACCTGTAGGTGTGGGAGTGATGCAATGGCCAATAATTTATCCAAGCGAGGCTAAAGGCGTTTTGCCAGTATTTTCATCCAAAGTAAACTCAATATCCGTTTCATCATGCGCGGTTTACAATTTTCAAAATCCAAATCCGGAAATGTATAGAAAAGCCTAAAGTTCAGTTTTTTGGCAAATTTAGAAGACGCAATCTACTTTTTACAGCGCAAAAAGGAAAGAAAATGAGGTGGACTTTAAACACTTGGACCGTGATTAAAAAAGAAAAAAGATCAGGGCAATAGTAGCATGTACAGCGGCACTTCAAGACGATGTACCCGAAACGGACCCAGAGCAATTTCGATTAACTATGATCAGTATTTGGTAGGAGAGAATGGTGTTCTATTAGATTAACAAAATCTCAGAAGGCCCTTGCTGAAAACAACACGCACTGCCGTAATGGTTTGGGGGAAATAGTTTCGAGGCTTCCTATAGGCAAAGTAGACTTATTGTTAATGAATAGAGAGACCACTCAACTTTATGAGATATGCCGGTTTCCAAAATAGACCGATGCTAAAATATTACACTTTGCTTGATTTTCTAAAAATCATGCAGCTACTTTGTAATTATAAATGAAACACTTCTATTAGTCAGGAATCTTGGAGTAGTAACTGCAAAAGTGGAAGATGCGTCCCATGCGCCCCGTAAAAAGCAGTGCATTTTTATTCGGACCCCGGCCTTGCGAAGAGCACTTATTGTGTTGTAATCGCCATTTCACTCTACCTCTAGATCGATTCACTACGAACGGAACAGAGGTCGAAAGCCCAACTAGCACCTCTATCGCGGCAACCTCAACAACGTTTTGAAACTAATCGTTCCTTGAATTAGTCTTTATGCTTCCGTTGAAAATGGGTCATTTACACATGCAGTGGCATCGGTAGATTTGGGTTTCTGGAAGTCCAAGAGAAATTTGCTATTAGTACTTTTGACAGTAGAATACAGACAAGAAAGATGGTATTACGTCGATGCAAGGCACTCAAAGTGCCGTTGGAATTAAACAGCGCAAATGCGAAAGCTTCAGTGGATAAAATGAGCCCGATAAAAAGGAGGCACCAGACACAGACTTTTCCAAGTTATACAAACTACTGAATTATGCAAGATGGAAGTGCCAGAAGCCTAATAGATTCACCTATTCGTAAAGGTTAAACATACTTCTGACGATAACCGTCAGCCATTAAAAATACCCGGCCATAAGACATTCTCAGAATCTCACGGGTTTCATCAACTGGCAATATCGACAGGAGCGAGAATGAGGGTAAGAGAAACCACTTACGTACTGATTACATCTCTGAGGGGATGTTGATGTGAGGCGAGCCAGGGATGTTATTACGGGTCACAGAACCGATTTATCACGCCCCACCAACTCCCTGTGCGGTTTAGTAGTCAAATTGATGGCGCACCGCACCGCACTTGAGTTATTGAAAACTGTTTTGAGGGAGGAGGGCATTGCCCTGTGGGCGCATCTCCTGTTGTCAAACTAGACGGTACCGCAAAAGTCTGCAGTCACAAATTGGAAGTAAAAAAAGCTGACTTATCCGGAATTTAAATAACTTTGTCAGCACGACAGCAAAACTTTTAGATAAAAATACCAGAGTCCCAATCGAACCAAGAGCCAAATACTACCATCTGCAGAACGAAACATTTACGGTGAGGGGCACCAGCGATTGGGCAAATCGAGTGGTTAATGGCGCATTTGCAAAAATATCAGAGGAGTGCGAGTTGTGGATCGTGAGGACACATGGCTAAAGTTCAGGTACCTCTTTGAGCCATCAAACACAACTAGGTAATGTGCCACATGACTAGGAGGCTGTTGATGAGACCGAAGTATGCACACGGGTTAGAGAGGATTTAGACTATCTACGGTTCACTCGATGATGACTAATGAAGTGACAGAAGAATTTTTAAGATCGATTTTCTGAAGTGACTGCACTGTGCTAGAAGGGTGATCTCTCAGCCTTAAGTCATCCGGTTTCAAATGAATGCGGCTAAACGGAAATTTTATAAATTGCACAGAATAAATTGACCTCGTGATTTACGCCAAACAGGCTTGGGTGAAATGATTACTATCATCTAAGGACATTAATTTTATTCGTGTGCAATACTATAGTGAGGCGAGGTGATGGGAAGACTTCTTGGAGGTGCGACAGACAAGACGACCTTGCTCAAGTCATTTTCCCCAATGCAAAGTTGGCATTTTCACATTAACTTATTAAAAAGGCATCATATTTGAAGATTTTTCATTCCTGGGCATTACTATCAGAGGACCACAAGCCGGCATAACCAATGCCACCAGATACTAAGTCAGTTTGTGAAGACAGATGATTCAAATTAGTCCGAAGAAAGTTACTCAGGCCTTGTACCGTTTTCATTTTAACCAAAAAGCACGAAGCTTCAACTTTCTAAAGAAACAAAACCAATGAGTAGGTGTAAAATAAAGATAATATTTACAGATATGCAAACATTTACAGACATCCTTAGACGAATCACCGTTTTGAAGCGAGACCGAGTTGGTAGCGGCGGTTCGAAAACCAAATTCTCACGCTTTCACGTTGATGACCGATGGACTCCGCTAATCGAGTAAGTTCTTCACCTAAGAGTTTAACAAAAAATGATATCGTTTTTATGCTACATAGGCTGTTTACGATTGACTATACTGTAAAATCAGGATTCGTCATTAAGATCGGTGGTCGCGTGCCCTAAGGGTAGCACACAAAATTGAGAGTGAAATTCTACACCACTCATCGGCCACCGCAGAGATACCACATGAAACCATAAAAGAAATTAACGAACCTCGTGGCTTGGGATTTCGTTTGAAGTGATGAGTCATGTGTTCAACGGCTGTGTCATCAAACACGGCTCGCGACTTGCGTGTTCGCCTTAAGGGAAGTAGGGATTTTTGCGGACTAAAGTCACCCTCGCCTGCTGCCCTGTCTCGCAAATCCAGCAAGTCAGTCACGGCACCGTCGCACGTGGAGGTGGACAAAATCTGGGCTCCCTCAGTGGGTTCCTGGTCTTCAAATTCAACCTGATCGAGCCACTGCTCCAGATATGGCTGAGCTCCAAGTGCTGCTCGAAGAGTAACATCGAGTTGTTCAAACCTAACACAGCGAAGACGACTATCGACTAAGTAATTATTGCCACGAGAATAAATAAATACTATATTCTTCTCTATCGGGACACGCTAACGTTAAACGACCTAATGCTTTCACAATAAAAAAGTTAAATTACGAAGTCAACGGGGCAGAAAACGGAGTTGTTCGGCACCAAGGTCAGCGTATTTGGACCGACTGATGGTATGCACACTTGAAATCCACGATGATATATTAATCAAACCGAGGGAAAAAACCAACCCTCACAATTCAAACTACAGCTGAAATAGTCACACGATATCTTGATTTCACACATTAGACAACAAAATAGGTCAGTTCGGATAATTCGAGGGTTGTGCGGTCTGGAGCTGCACCTAGATCCAATTTCTGCGATACACTAGTTCAGATGTCAGCCAATTACTAGCAGCAATAAGACCCTGTGGCTACGACAGCAGACTAGTTTTCTGTGAACACGAAAGTCGACTCCTTGGTATGGATAAATTTGGCTCTAGGGTGCTAACGTAAATGGTAAAGCAGCTCAGGAGTCCATGAATTTGGATTACACTTTTACACAAACGTTGTTAATCAGTTATAAGCGTTTGGTTTTGCAGAGCGAAGATTAGAACCTACATCAAATTTTTCCCACAAATTCAATAAGGAACCAATCTGCTAAGAAAAACCTTAGGACCAAAGAATGTTACCGGGGTTCAATAGTATTCATGCCCTTTTAATCTACAGCGTAGAACCCACACATTACCAAGAATGTCTCTAGCAAGGTAGCACCAACAGATCTGCATTGCACACGCCAGTCACAGAATTTGCTACAGGGCACTATTCAGTCGGCAATGCACATCCACCGAGGTGAGGCCCAGACTGGATGAATAGATGGCACAAGTGATTCAGAAAGAGTTCAAATAAGTTGGTTGGTGAGCGAAACATGCTTAGTAAAGACAAGGTTTAAGGAATTTGACGAAGAAATTGAGCACACTGAAGGCTAGCCCATAAACAATTTTGTGAATTGGCGGCATAGAAAACGAAAGTATTAGTGTGGCCAAGTGGACATGGGTCTCTATAAGAAATAAACAAGGCCTTTAACAACAACAACACAGACCACAAGTCACGAGTTTCTCAGGTTTGCAATATGGCTTAATGGAAAATGAATCTTGGAAATATGCAGCGATGGATTTTCACTTCAACATTAAAAACAATTTTATGATTGACGAAATAGTATGTCACAAGCTATAGCAATGGCTTCCGAGCAGTGCCAAAAGCTGTGTTCCCAAGTTACAATAATTTGGTGAGAAATCTGTCATGACTAGATAGATGCCTGATTTAATTGAGTTACCACCTCCAGTTTGTGATGGATTCATTTAAAACAGCGAGAAAACCACGATATCTGAATT